GGAGGAGACGGAGGAGGAGGAGGGGGAGGAGGAGGAAGAGGAGGAGGAGGAGGAAGAGGAGGAGGAGGAGGAGGAGGAGGAGGAGGAGGAGGAGGAGGAGGAGGAGGATGGGGAGGAGGAGGAGGAGGGGGAAGATGATGAGGAGGAGAGGGATGAGGAGCATGAGGAGGAAGAGGAGGATGAGGATGATGAGGAGGAGGAGGAGGAGGAGGAGGAGGAGGAGTAGCAGGAGGAGGCAGGAGGAGGAGGAGGAGGAGGAGGAGGAGGAGGAGGAGGAGGAGGAGGGGGGAGGGAGGAGGGCGGGAGGAGGAGAAGTAGGAGGAACAGGAGGAGGAGGAGGAGGAGGAGGAGGAGGAGGAGGAGGAGATGGAGGAGGAGGATGAATAACACTAATACTGAACAGAAGACGAAGTGGTGTATGCTGGGAGAGGTTGAGACAGGACGAACATAAGGACGACGAGTTTGCGAAGGAACTATTCGGATTGTACTGCCAGCTGGCGTGACGCTGCGCGGCCGACTCTTTCTCAAGGCCTTGCCAACGTGCCTGCCCCTTCAGCGCCAAACGACGCGCCTATATCGTTTGTCAGTTAGAAAGGGCTGCCTCCTAGTATCTTGAGATGCCATTCGCAGCCAGCCGCTCGATGCGAGGGCCCGGGGACTCTCACAAGGAAGACGTGAGGCCCTGTCAACGGCGCTGCGTTTGCCTGCACCGCCGTCACCATGTGGGGGTCTCCGATCACAAAGCGATGGCCCATGCCACGCGCTAGGCCAATCAAATCGTCCCAGCCTTCCCGCACTGGTGGCGGGGGTTTAGGGTCGGGCTCGACCTCGGGCTACGGCCCACAAGTAGTTACGATGTCTATGTATTCAGTCTGCTCGGTCTTCCCCGTGTCGCGAGAGAGGACATCAATCCGAGGAGGACGAGGAGGAGGAGGATAAGGATGCTGATGCTGATGATGATGATGATGATGATGATGATGATGATGATGATGCTGATGATAATGATGATGACGATGATGATGACGAGGAGGAGGATGAGGAGGGCTCGCAGCTTCATCACAGCTGCCATGCTTTTGCGGCGGGCCAGGTGGACCTCAGCGATTTCTGCGCTTGGTGTCGCAGAGGCCGTGCCAGAGCTGGTTGAAATCGCTGGCCAACACTCCCTGACCATGCGGCATGTTGGTGGAAGTCCCACGCGACCGCTGGCCTCGCGCGTCAGCTCCTGGATCTCAGCCAGCAGCCCCTTCTCCTTTTGTAGTGAGACATCGTCTGTCCATGAAGGATGCGGAAGATGAGATAGGGAGAGAAGTGAGACAGGATGGGACATGATGATGCTGCTGATGAAAGTGCTGCTGATGATGCTGCTGATGATTACGATGATGATGATGGTGGTGGTGATGATGATGCTGTTGCTGCTGCTGATGATGCTGATAAGTATGATGACGATGATGACCATGACGACGATTATGCTGACCACGATGATGCTGCTGATGGTGGCGATGATTATCATTATGCTGCTGCTGATGATGATAGTGGTGGTGGTGATGATGCTTATGATGATGCTGATGATGCTGCTGCTGATGATGAAGAGAAGGAGGAACAACAACAATCGAACAGACGCTACGATGCCATTCGATCCAAGTTTGCTCAACATCATAAAAGGGAAACGACCCTTGTGACTGCATGCGCCAGACTGGAGGGCACTCCGACACTGCCGTCCTACGACCACCGTCGTCCCTGTTCTTACCCCCCCGAAGGCCTGCGGCACTCCGCGCTCCCAGGCCGCGCGCCCTGGGCTTCGGACAACAGTCCCGGCAGGCGGTCCGCAGCGAGCGGTGCGGCGCGCCTTCGCGACGAGGGCGGCGGCTGCGGCAGCAGTGGCGGCGACGACGAGGGCGATGCAAACGAGGAGGGGGGGGAGGGCGGGACGGGGAGGGCGACGACGACGACGACGACGACGACGACGACGACGACGACGACGACGACGACGAGGGCGACGTGGACGAAGCGAAGGGGGGGGGGGGGGAGGGGGGGGGAGAAGGAGGGCTGGCTGGGCTTGCCTGGGGAAGGCAGCGTGTCTGACCTCCGGGTATGGGGCCCTTTCGTCGGAGTTGAGCTTCGAAGCGGACGAGGGTGGGGAGAGTGGAGATGAGGGGGGATGGGAGTGGGCAGAATGGGGATTGGGGGGGGATAGGAAGGGGGAGGGCAGCGAGGAGCAGGGAAAGAAAGCCCAGAAACTCGCACTAAGGGCGCGCCTGCGCGACGTGGAGTCGATGATCAATCTTAGCGGGCAGCCCCAAACGCGGCTCGACTGTTGGAATTAGAGGAGGAGGCGGAGGAGGGGGAGGGAGAGCAGGAGGTAGAGGAGGGAGAAGAGGATAAGAAAGAGGGGGAGCAGGAGGAGGAGCAGGCGGATGAGGAGCAGGGGTAGGAGGAGGAGGTGCCGGGGGCGATGGGGCGGTCAATGTAACGGACGATGCTGCTGATGATGATGATGATGATGATGATGATGATGATGATGATGATGACGATGATGATGATGATGATGCTGCATATGATAATACTGATGATAAGTATGATGATAGTGATCATGTTGCTGGTGATGCTGATGATGACGATCAGTCCGATCATAGTGATACTGATGGCGATGATGATGATGATGATGATGATGATGATGATGATGATGATGATGATGATGATGCCGCTGATGATGATGATGACGATGATGATGATGATGCTGATGCTGATGCTGATGATGCTGCTGATGATGATGATGATGATTATGATGATGATGATGATGATGATGATGATGATGATGATGATGATGATGATGATGATGATGATGATGGTTGCACGTAGCTTGGGGCGCCACGGTTCTGTCGTACACCCCGAGAGAGCGCGCAGCTCATGAGAGCACTTCGATGTGCTCGGGGTATGACATCGGCGCTCCAGGAGTGCGCGCACGAAGCTGGTGGAAAAGTTTGAAAGCGAGGGCCTACACCTAGAGCACGCGCTCCCTGGAGGTCTCGTCAGAGTAGTCATTCTCCTCCCCGATGCCGAGGCGCACGATCGCCGAGGCGGGGAGGACGGAGCAGGGTAAGGCGACAAGGTGGAGCAGCGGGGGCAGGAGAAGTAGTGGGCGATCGCATCAAGGCCGCCTTCGCATCCAAAGACACAGCCCCGCTCACCGAGGATGTGCATCCTGCGGGCGGTGATCCATCCGCCCGCTAGCGTCCTCACTACCGACCAGCAGGTGGTGGGGCGAGATCTCGCCAGGGCCTCCTTCAGCGCCTGCCAGCGGGTGGCGAAGGGAGGGACCAAGAGCTGCAGATACCAGGCATGCGCTCGCGTCTGCAGCGTAAAGCGAACCCTGTCTGGAAAAAGTCCGCGCGTCAGCGAACCGGCGTAAACTCCCTGAAGCCGCGGCTGCTTCTGGAGCTCGGCGGCGAGCGCTGCGTGCAGGGCCTCTGCAGCAGCAATCCGCTGCGGGGCAGCAGCAACCTTCGGGAGTGTGAGAGAGCGTGCGCGGTCACGCATGCTCTGCACGATGGCCTGCGGGTGGCACCAGCATGGCGGGGACCAGCGGTCTTGAACGTGGCGGACAATGGTGCTGTGGCGCCACGAGCGCCCTTCGAGCTCCGCGCACCAGGAGGAGTGCTGGGGGACAATGCTATGCGCCGTGCGCCAGCTCGTCGCCGCCTATGGGGTGGAGCCAGGTGCGCATCCCCGCAAAGACCAGATGTCGTGGCCCGTGAGCGAATTGGGCGACAGCTTGAGCAGCTTATGGATACACCGAGGCTTCTTTTGCAGGAGCAGCTTCGGCGGCAGATAGAACTGGGCGACATAGCCTAAGGTGGGGAGAGTCGCGAATCCGTACAGCCGGAGGGAAGAGTCGGGGGATGGCGTCAGAGGCGGAGGTCTTCAGGATTCTCTCCCATCATTTCTGCGAGCGAGCCTTCCACTGGAGGGCATTCGTGGCCGCTGACACTGCGGGAGAACCTGGCGCAGGACTGCACGAATGTCCGTGATTACAGCGTCTGCGCATTCGGTCCAAAGTGGGACATGATGATGAAGATGAAGATGAAGATGAAGATGAAGATGAAGATGATGATGATGATGATGATGATGATGATGATGATGATGATGATGATGATGATGATGATGATGATGATGATGATGATGATAATGATGATGATGATGCTGATGATGCTGATGATGATGGCGATGCTGATGCTGATGATGATGATGATGATGATGGCGAGGATGATGATGAGGATGATGGTGGTGATGTTAATCATGATGATGCTGATGATGATGACGATAATGCTGCTGCTGAGGATGGTACTGATGATGATACTGGTGATGATGCTGATGCTGATGATGAGGATGATGACGAAGCTGATGATGATGCTGATAATGATTAGGAGGAGGAGGAGGCCGAAGATAAGGTAGAGGATGAGGGGGAGGCGTAAGGGGGTGAGAAGGAAGAGAAAAAAGAGCAGCAGGCCGATGAGGAACACTTGCCTCAGAGGAGACTGAAACTCCAAGTAATCGACGTCTGCTTTGACTTCGCGTTCCGTATGCCCGAGAATCGGCGCAGAACAATCAGAACAACACACTTTCAAGTCCTGGACAAGCAATGTCCTCGAGTGTTCTGGCTCCCAGCAAACATCCCACCCCTAGCAGAAACTTCCCGAATCCTGTCGTCTTTACAAGGTGCCGTTGACGAGCTCACAGCCGTGCGGTCTTCAGATGGCCTGACGGCCTCATGGCTTTGGAAGGAGCCCATCGTCGGCGGTCCATGTCGGCCTGGCTCGCCTAGAAGTTATAGGTCCCGTCAAGAACGCCTTCGGGACGCCTTTTGAGACTATCGCTCGGAACGCTTGAGACTATCGCACATGGAATGATGGATGTGCCATCCTTTCAGTGCTTCCTCCCTCCCCACTCTCCCATGGCCAAGCCGAGCCGCAGTTGGGGCTACCCGCACTAAGTGTCCACTGTCAATGTCCGAAGTCGATGTAGAAGTCGGTAGATACTAATTCGCCTGTGGAGAGGAGAGGGGGATGGGGAGGTGGAGGAAGAGGATGAGGGAGATCCAATGCAGGAATCTGTACATATTCGCCGCCTGGACAACCGGCGTCCCAGGATCCCGGCAGGCAGGGGGTATGGATATCTTTGGCTGCCCCCGGGGCCTGGAAACATCCCTATCCTCTGCCTTTGGAGGTCCTGGATTGTCGATTCTCCAAGCGGTGGATACTTATGCATTCCAGCCTCGGAGGAGAGGAGGGGAGAAGTGTGAGCACCGCCCGGCTGGGGGCCAGAGCAGGATGGGGTCGGAGAGATCGCACCGCATCGCCGATGCATCGGCGACGCACTGGCGACGTCGGGGTGGAAAGAATCGGGCTCCGGATCGCGCCGCATCGCCGAGGCATTGGCGACGCGGCGCGGTCCTTCGATCCCGTCTGCTCCGGCCCCGTGTGTGGGCGGTCTCGGAGTCGGTCTTTTAATGGAGGCGCTCGCCTGCTGTGTTGCTTAGGCCGCTTGCCGACAGCGCCCTCGCCTGGCGGGCGGAGGGGATCTGCGGGCCCTGCAGCACGCGCAGCCCCAGCTGCACCTTTGCGCGAGCGCGCCAGAGCTCTCATCGTGGGTGCTGCTTCGGAGAGAAAGATGCCCTTGCTAAGACCTGGGGCTTCCGATGGGCAGGCTTGTGCAAACACCCGTCTGGGGTCTTGCGGCCTGTGGACGGCTCGTCGAGATGAGGTCGCGGGCCGTCTACCTCGCGTCGGCTGAGCAAGGGATGCGACAGAGTCCGGCCCCCACGAACCGACTCCCTCACCGAATGCCCCTACCACAGACATGCACCCCCCCAAATCAGGCTTCCCAATTTTTTATTGAGCGCACTTCATCCTCAATGGAGGAGGGAGGTGTTTTGTTTCTTCCGCCGCTTCGGGACTGAACAAGTGAAATTCCGCGTCAATGCTCCAGGCGGGTGTGCAGGGTCCAGGCAGCTCCACAGAAATACGAGCGACAGAAGAAACATAAGCGCGACAACTCCAATGTCGATCAGCGCCTGACAAGTATTCACGTTCAGCTGAACCACGCAAGGCACATACGGAGGATGATGAGGATGAGACAGAAAAGGCGAATAAGGATAATAACACTAAGAGTGGTAATAGCATTACTAATAATATTAACAAAAGACGATCGGCAAGGGAGGATGGACTGGTGCGATGTGTTGGAATCCCCTATGGTCTGACTAAAACCAGACTTCAAACAACGACAGACAGAGGGTGAACTCACAGTATAAGGCGAACTCTTGACCACGCAACGCTGAAGAAGATAAGAATATTGCCCCGACTCCTATCATGTCGGAGGGGGGAGGGGGAAAGGGGGGAAAGGAAGAGGGGAAGACGGCAGAAGAAGCGATGCGCCAGGGGTGGGGGCTGCAAGGTGACAGGCACGTGTGAGTAGTGGCTTACCGGTGCGTGCCGCGCAGCGTCGTGCGCAAGGGCCGCAAGGGTCGTGCGTGAGTGGTTGATGCTGAAGCCGTTGGGGCTCCTGCTGGTGCGCCTGTCACTGCAGTTGTGGGGGAGGCGGTCGGAGTTGCCGTCGGCGCGGCTGTCGATTCAATGGCAGGCGGGGCCGCCGACCTCGCGCAGGGCTGGGGAGGCTCGGCGTCGAACTGGGAATCGACGACTGCGTCGGGCAACGTATGGGGAGCGCGCCGTGCTGCGGTTGTACACAGATGGGAGCTGTTTCGCAGGATCCAAGCGAGATCTTGCACCAATCGCTCGTCGTGGCGATTTGCATGGTCGCCTCCCCAAGCGGTGGGGCTGGAGGCGGAGCCAGAGACGGATTGGGGAAGGGACCGGGCAGGAGTCGGAGCTGGAGCAGGCGTCGGTCAGGAGTTGGAACTGGTGCCAGGTCTGGCGCTGGAGTCGGGGCTGGATCGGAGCCGGAGCTGGCGTCGGCAGGGGGTCGGAGTTGGAGTCGGAGCTGGCACGAGCCCGAGCTGCGTTTCCGAGCTGGCGCTGGAGTCGGGGCTTGGGTCGGAGCCGGAGCAAGCGTCAGAAGAGGAGTCGGAGCTGGAATCGGAGCCAGCCGCCAGAGCGGGTCCCGAATAACTGCTCGGTGGGCGCTAAAGGGCCGGTGGCGACGGCGGGAATCAGGGGCATTCCGTTGCGGGGTCGGAGTCGTGGTGCGGAGCGGTCGGTGTGGTTGTCGACGAGGCTGTCGTGCAGCTGCTGGTGCGGCGATGGGTGCTGCTGCGGGAATGGGCTGTGGGCGCAGCTGCTGGTGCGACAACTGATGTTCAGCCGGCGCCAGTGTCTGTGAGTCTGACGGAAGAGGCGTGCGTGGTTGGCGGCGTTGCTGTCGTGGTCTAGGTCTGTGTGGCTTTTGAGGTTGTCTTCGAGGTTCTGGCGGCGGCCGTGGATTCGGTGTCCTCATGGCACCAGAGTTAGCGGATGGGGTGCGCCCAGGGTCTAGCGTCGAACAAGGACGCGGGTGGCGCCGAGCGGGTCGCCCTCCCTCCCACCCGCGCGCGGGCGCCCAGCGCCGCGCCGTCGAACTCCAGCCTCCTGTTTGCTTGCGTACTCCAGCGCGCCCGCGCGCGCGCGCCTCGCGCCGCCGTGAGGCGACCCGGCGCGGATCCTCTGGGCCCTCATGGGGCCGCTCGGCATGCGTGAGACGCGGGTGCGCCTGGCCGCGATCCAACTAACCACGGCGTCGAAGACGTGCGCTGCTCGCCGCTGTGCGCCGCGGGGAACCGTAGCTGCCACCACTGTCCCCCGCGCAGCTGTCCCGGGCAGAGGGGGCGCCTCCGCAGCCGTGCAGGCACCGCGCTGCTGGGGCCGAGCCCAGGCAGAAGGCACGTCGACCATCGTGTCGAGGCGGACACGCAGCCGCTGAATCGCTGCCCCCCGTGGGGGCGCGCCCACGCGAGAAGCTGCCGCGCCACCTCGCGGCTGCGTGCTATCGCCGCTTCGTGACCCTCCCGGTGGTCTGTGGCACCCGGCCCAGCGGCTGCTGGCGGGGTCCCCTCTCCCGCGCGGCGCGCTCCGCGGACCGCCGCCCAGCGCCAACGTCCCGTGCCGCAGCCTCGCCGCTCTGCTGGGAGCTCAGCGGTCGCCCTGAGACCACTCGGAGGGCCTCCTCGCTCGCTGCCGGGGCCCGCCTGCGGGCGTCGCGCCTTGCCAGGGTGGTGCCGCGCACTCGAGCAGCCCCCCGCCGCCATCGAAGCCATGAGCCAGACATCTGGTTTGAGCCCAATGAACCGGCGGAGGCATCAGGTTCAGAGGGCAATGGCTGCGAGGCCCCCTGGCAGGAGCCAAAATGGCTACAGCGGGGCATGATGAGGGGAGCGGAGTCTTCCCATCAGCAATTACTCAAGATGTGTACTACTCTCCTGTCCCCCCTGAAGACCCCTATGAGGGAGCGCGCCCCCTCCGGGTATTGTTTTTACACATCGGATGCCTGCGAGTTGGATTTTTCCTCCAATCCGAACGTCTTCGGTTCTTCCACAATGTTGCTCCCGCTGCAGCGCTGGCGTCATTTGGGGGCTTCTGCCCGATCCGAATCGTGCGCCCACTGCCGCGCCGGCCTCATCTCGGCGCTTCCGCTCGATCCGAATCGTTCTCTCGCTGCAGCGCTGGCCTCATTTCCGCGCTTTCGCTCGTTCCGAATCGTGCTCCCGCTGCCGCGCTGGCCTCATTTCCGCGCTGCTGCTCGTTCTGCTCGTTCCGCCCTGCTTGACATTCGACCATGCGAATAGAGAGGTGATCTACGCCACGGTAAGGGATGGAAGGGAGGGGTATGACCCTTGTTCCTCCTCCTCCTCCTCCTCCTTCTCCTCATCCCTCCTCCTCCTCCCTCCTCCTTTCTCGTCCCCCTCCTCCTCCTCGTCCTCGTGCTCGTCCCTGTCCTCCTCCTCCTCGTCCTCCTCCTCCTCCTCCTCCTCCTCCTTCGCTTCCTCCTCCCCCTCCTAGCGCCTTCGATCAGGGTCGGCGGCACCGGCCGTCAGGCCTCTCCAATAGAGAGGTGATCTACGCCACTGTAAGGGATGGAAGGGAGAGGTATGGCGTCAGATAAAACGCTTGCGTACCTAGCTCGATGATCCTCAGAACGTATGTTAGAGCCAACGTGTGCTGGTCCACCGAAGCCCTTCAATACAACGAAGGTGGTGCAACGATGACCGACATAGACCGAGTAGGGTTAACACACATTGGGCTCACACACGTCCTGACGATCACCGACTGGCTTGTCCTCCCCCCTCTCTCCCCTCCTCCTCCTGCTCTGGCGGGTGGGCGGGTGGGGGAGGGCGCTGCACTTCGCAACGGCCACCTGCACGCGCACACGGCTCGGGTCATACGGCACTGCCACGGGCTCCACCTCCTGACGCGGCGCCAGCCTGGCACCTTCGGGCGACAGGAAGCCGGAGAGGGCCGAGCGAGGAAGCAGAGAACGACGAGGCGGGTGAGGGGCGGGGGGTGGAAGAGGCGGACCTCCTGAACCTGCTGACCAAGCACAAGAGGGCGTCGTGCGAGGGAGGGGGATGGGAGGCAGGGGGCGAAGCCGACCCCCGCACGGCGGGGCCTAAACTCGGGGGCGCGCAAACATGGATTAGCGATCCATGGATTTGGCGCGCGGTCGCCAAATCCATGGATCGGGGGAGGTGCCCTCCCCAAAGTGCGGCCGGTGCCGCCTCGTTCGGCGGCGGAGATCCGCAATTCCCCATGGAAACGGGACCCGTCGCTAATCCACGCCTCCTTAATCCATGTTTGCGATCGCCTGACAAACCCGAGCAAAACCTGGGCCTAGACACCTCTGCACCACAGCAGCCAGTCAACCGTCCCCCCCAACAACGGGGGGATGGTTGACCAGCCGCGATGGCGGAGGGGCCGCCAACGTCCCCTGGGAGCGCGTGCATCATCTGCATAAGGCCTTGGGGTCCCCTTCGCGCCTGGGATACCTGCCCTCCTCGATGCGGCTTAAATTATACGTCGCCTTGCGAGCGAGCCCCGAACCTGTCGCCAAACGCTACCCGTCCACAATTGCGTATTTACTTCCCGCAGGTAGTGCAGAAGCTCATGAGGAACCGCTCCCGTCGCTGAATTGTATGCGGTGGGTGGGCATCTCTGCC